GTTTGCACTGCTATTTATTTTTGCAAAGAGGCAAATCATGTGCTTTGCAATGAAATCCTGTAGGGGACCTCATGTCCTGTGGGACACCATACTCCCAAGAACTTAAAAGAGGAGGCTGATATTCGACTATCCAGGGTTCAGGACATCAAGTATGAACCTCAGCTCCTTGCAGATGATGATGCATGACTGCTACAGCTGGACACCCAGGGACATCAGAACTGTTACAACTGTTTATACAGGATGAAAGCTCTGGATGCCATCTGTGCCTCTGAGATCCTATTTCGTGCTGAAGGCTGGCATCCCCGTTCCTTAATGGGCAAGAATTTTCGCTCCTACCTGCTAGATCTTCGAAACACTAGTACTTTCTTCAAAGGTGTGCGCAAGGCCCTCACTGATACCCTGCTGGGTGGCTATGAGACAGCCCGCTATGGCATGGGAGTCTTTGGCCAGAGAGAGTACCTGTGCTATCAGGAGGCCCTGAGTGAGCTGGCCACAGTGGTAAAAGCACAAAGTGGGCACTCCCAGCAACAACATCAGTCAGCAGCCAAAGACCTAACCCAGTCTCCTGAAGTTTCCCAACAACCATCCAGGTGACATACCTCCCCTCCAGTCAGAAGAGTGAACATGCCAAGCACTTCCTTGAATTGAAGAGCTTTAAGGACAACTATGATACACTAGAGAGTACTCTGTGATGGCGCTGAAGGACTTGCTGTTGATGGAGCCAGAGAGACTGCATCGTGCTTGCCGGCGCCCCGACCCACAGGTCATCTGGATCAGCGGGCCCAGACAGGATGAGCTGAAGCTCCCAGTCATATCCAGAACTCTTAGAGCTCATGCCTAGAGAATCATTCTCCAAACCTTTCTTATGGCTGGTTTCAAAACATCGGTTAAGACTTTATTTTCCCTTGGTAGCACTTTTTTTCTGGAGTTGAATTAAGATGTTTTCCTTAATATTTCTGTCAAAGCTTCCTTAAAAATCCTCACTTGGTTTTGATCATAGTTCATCTGCCTTTTTCCAGACTATAAATAATCCCAAGGGTGAGAGAGTTGTGTTGGGGTTGATGGGGCAAGAATGGTCAAACCAATGCACTGGTCTGACTTTATAAATTAATGAAATGAACAATTAAACGAAAAAATAAAATAAAAATCACATGACCATATCAATAGATGCAGAGAAAGCATTCAACAAAACCCAGCACCCATTTTTTTTAATACAAACTCTCAGCAAAGTGGGAATAAAGGGATCATACCTCAACATAGTAAAGGCCATATATAACAAACCTACAGCCAACATAATTCTCAATGGGCAAAACTAAAAGCATTTGCCCTAAGATCAGGAACAAGACAGGGATGCTGCTTTCACTACTCTTATTCAACATAATACTGGAAGTCCTAGCCACAGTGATCAGATAAGAAGAAAAAATAAAAGGCATCCAACCTTCATCAAATTAAAAAGCATCTGCACAGCAAAAGAAACCAGCATTAAAATGAAAGGGGAACCCACTATATTGGAAAACATATTTGTCAATGATACATCCGATAAGGGTAACTTCCAAAATATATAAAGTACTCATACAACTCAACAAAAGGAAGACAAACAATCCAATTAAAAATGGGCAGAGGACCTGAATAGAGACTTCTCCAAAGAGGAGATACAGATGGCCAAGAGACATATGAAAAAATGCTCAATGTTACTAATAATCAGAGAGATGCAAATTAAAATGACAATGAGGTATCACCTCACATGTGCCAAAAGGGCTACCATCAACAAATCAACAAACAATTGCTGGCAAAGATATGGAGAAAAGGGAACCCTGGTACACTGCTGGTGGGAGTGCAGACTGGAGCAGCCATTGTGGAAAACAGTATGGAAGTTCCTTCAAAAAATTAAAAATGGAACTGCCATTTGACCCAGTGATCCCACTTCTGGGAATAAATCCTTAGAATCTTAAAATACCAATCAGAAAGAATATATGCACCCCTATGTTCTCAGCAGCACTATTTGAAATAGCCAAGATTTAGAAGCAGCCCAAGTGCCCATCAGTAGATGAGAGGATAAAAAGCTGTGGGACATTTATGCCATGGAGTACTACGCAGCTGTAAAAAAGGATCTCTTACCCTTTGTGACAGCATGGAGGGACCTGGAGGGGATTATGCTAAGTGAAATAAGCCAGGCAGAGAAAGACAAGTATCGTGTGACCTCACTCTCACACACACACACACACACACACACACACACACACACACACACACACACACTTCAAAACTGCAAGGTGCTTTGAGAGCATTTCATGGAGGACTTGCTTGGTTTTTGGAGGAGGTGGAGGAGAGAGGCTAGGGAAAGTTGAATTCTGAATGGTGAGCAGAATGAGCAGGAGTTCAGGGTGAGGGATAACGATAGTGTGACTGCAGAGTGTTTGTGGGAAGGTCCTGACCCTCCCAACCCAGTCCTCATTAATTCCTTAATCCTGGCTTCCAAATTTTGAATTCTTTATTGGTGCCAGTGCCTTTTACTGTCTCTCCACTTTAAGGTTCTCCTAATCCCGGATAAGATATGTCCAAAACCCCTGAGATGTTCCACATTTCTTTTGTAAATTAAAATCTACTATAAGAGGCTTGTTGTGAAAATTCAAACAGCACCAATTTATACATATAGAAAGTAAAAGTCCCCATCACATGCTATCTAGCTCTGAAGGAACTGCTCTTTATGGCTTGACACACAGATCTTTCCGGACCTCTTTCTATGTCTTTGTATATTTGTGTTATATGTTGTACATATGATTTTTTTTTTGCAAAAATAATACAATATATTTCATAGCTGATTTTCTTTTTTAAAAAAATTGATTTCAGAGAGAGGGAGAGGGAGAGAAAGAAACATCAATGATGATAGTCATTGATCAGTTGCTCCTACACGCCCCCTACTGGGGATCGAGCCCAAAACTCCGGCATGTGCCCTGACCAAGAGTCAAACTGGGATCTCCTGGATCATAGGTCGATGCTCAACCACTGGGTCATGCTGGCTGGGCTATTATGTTTTTCATTGATTTTAGAGACCCGCAGCCCATGTTATGTGCCCTGACCAGGAATCGAACCCACCACCTTCCAGTGTATGGGATAACACTCCAATGGAGTAACACTGGCCAGGGCAGGAGTTGTCTTTTAATTGCTGCTATGTTCTCAGTGAAATGGGAAGCTGGGTCATCAGGAGGCAGTGGGGAGTTGAGGGACAGAAGGTGTGAAATAGCCATTCAGCAGAGCAAACAGATGAGGGGAACACGGTATGATCTCCAGGCAACATCAAGGACCCTCTCGATGCTTGTGATTAGGACTTCGAGGTGAGGCGGGTTAGTATGTCTTGTGGTTCTCCCCAAGGAAGCGTAGAGGTAGGTGCAGGCCCATACCTGCACCAAATTTAGATTTGGTGGACAGTTGGATTTAGCCAAGTAAATAGAATAAAGTGGAAGAGACACAAAAGTGCTGAAGTTTCATGCAAAGGAGTGATAATGATGATTCATCATGGAACCTCGGCTGGAGGGGAGGGGATGAGGGGATGAGGAAAGTGAGGGACAGTGAAAACCCACAAGGAGCAATGGATGGTAGGGTTGGTGGGGTTGAAGGGTATTGGACTCAGGGGGAAAGCTAGGAGGTGGTATAGCTGAAGAACGGGAATAATAGATTATTGACAAACTCTAGGGTAGAATCAGGGGAGTCAGTGGCTGAAGAGGGTGGAAGATGGGACCACTGGGCATCAGTGCAAGGAACAGTGACCATGGGAAGAATCATCTGTGTGGCTATCGAAGTCTCAAAGAATTAGAACCTCTTCCTAGGAAAGAGTGACAGTCACCTAAAAGGTTACTTTTTAGCCCTCTAACAACTTCCGTCTGAAAACCACTTCAGTGCAGAAAAAGACCCTCCTAGGAAATCTTAAATCAAAGCAAGATCCCCAAAAACACTTTCCAATTGGAAGATTGGGCAGCCTTTCTGAAATATTCATAGCTGGGTTTTTATTAAATGTGAAATACTGCACATTTTAAGAAGAGGCTGGTCCATGGGAACACTCCTTAGTGACTCTCTTGGTCTCTAATTTATGAACCTCTGATTTTACCTGTGCTTTGGGCCTGTATGTCCTATCTTTGGAATTGATAAATTAATAAACACTAACAAGCTGTGTTGACATTTCAAGGGAGCGTCATACCAAAATAAATTGAGCCAGTGTAGGGCTGAGACATTAGCAAATTTAGCAAGTTTGCACACAAAAGCTCCCCCTCCCTCACACACCTTGTCTGACTACCTCCTGCAGGAATCTTCGAGTAGTCGCAAACCCAAACCTCCATTTGAAACTCCAGGGCCAAGCTAGCAAGTCCAAGTTAGAGGATGGGCTAAGGAAGATGGTCCGAAACTCAAATCAGAAAAGGGGGGCCAACAAGAGAAACGGGGGGGGGAGTGTGGAGGTGGAAGAGGGTATAGGGGGATAAATGGTGATGGAAAAAATAAAACAAACGTAAAAAAAAAAAGAAAAACTGGCAGAAAAGGAAATAGAGAGGCCCTTGGCTAGAATTCATATCTGGTCCCTTATACTTGTCCATAGCAGTCTGAGCAGAGAAGAAAGCACATTTCTTTTTTTTTTTTGGTATATGGCTTTACTTTCAAGTTTTATATTATAAATAGAAGCTTGGTGAGGCATCTCTCACAGCTGTATTTCTTCTCTATTCTCTCCAGCTTCTCTGCCACATCTCTGGTTTCCTTCGCTTACCCCCTCTCTGTGTCCCCGGCCTTCCCGGGCTTCCTCCTTGCACCGGCCTCTCGCTGCCACTTTCTCTCTCCCCCTTCCCTGTCCTTCCTTCTCCTCCTCGGTCCTGGCCCTTCAGAGAGCACGTCTTGTCTTCTCGTGCCTGCCGGGTGGTGGAGAGGAGGTGGGTGTGATGTGTGGCGGCGACATCAGAGTGAAGCACTGGAGTAACGCCTCTCGTCGGAAGCCCTGCTCCCGGATGGCTCTCCAAGGAAAGGCTATGCTATGGGCCCAAGATGATTCCAGTTTTTCCTTAGTTGCAGCGATCCCCCTTCTCTCTATCCAGATAGAGCCCCTCGGAAGGCTGAATGCTGCACAGTGGTGTTGGCGAGGGCTGCTTAGACTCTCCCCAGTGTGAAAGGGTGGCTCAAATAGAATTTCCTGTCAGTTTAAGAGAGAAATATTCAATAAGACATGACCTGCCTATAAAGCTCTTCTGTGGGCACATAGATATTTGTTAATTTTTAAAATTGTCAGCTATTAATAATAGGTATAAGAGTTAGTGGTTTATTAGTAATATTTTACTTTAGAAAACAGAAACCACTCTACCTAGCTCTGGTTAGACAGAGGTACATAGGAGGTAGTTAACAAATGTTTGTTAAATAAATACATGGATAGATGGATGGATGGATGGATGGATGGATGGATGGATGGATGGATGGACGGACGGAGGAACGAACGAACCTTGGAGCATGGAAAGATAAGGGCTGGGCCCAAGGAAGTTTGCCTCCTACCCCACCCCACCCCTCCTGGCCTAGCTCCTTCTCACTTCCTGCAGCAGATGGTTGGGGTTCCCCAAGAGCTCTGGAAAGGAAAAGGTAGAACCAGCTCCCCACCTCCTCAAAGGAAGAGCCCATGGAAATTCTGAGGGCATCCCTCATGACTCCACCCAGCAGAGAGAAGGCCGCTGTAGTGATAACAGTGTCATCCTAGTCTCCATCCCCTCAGAGCCACTTTGTAGGAACTCCCAAGGGCCTCTGGGGGCTCGAGGTGTCACAGTCAGGGTTTCACTTGGTGCAGTTGGTCAAGAGGAGGAGGGCAGGGGGAAAAAGGGGCTGAGGTTGTTGTGGCTGGCACCCCCAACTCCCACCCCATAGCCTCCAGGAAGCACCCTCAGACACCAGGATCTGAAACCCTGCCTGAGGTCAAACTCTAGGTCTATCCCATGGAGGCAGCTGGACTAATCCCAGGACCATACCTATGAACAGGGCCAGCTGTGGTCGCGTGGAGGCTGCCAACGTGCTGAGGAGTGAGAGGGGCTGTGGCCCGGAGGGGTTCTCTCTTTCCCACTCTCCATAGGTGAAGGAATCCCTCCAACTGAGGTCGCGGGTGCAAGGGATGCTATCTTCGAAGGAAATTTCTTTTTCTAGGTAAGAAAGAGAATGCATTTGTTTGTACTTTAATTCACAGAGCACACTCACAGAGTAGGGCCCAAATTTGTAGGGTGCTTATTATAGGTCAGGCACTATTCTAAACAATTATGTCCATGAATGCTCACTTAATCCTCACAAAGACCCCGAGAGGTCAGCACTTCCATAGTCCCATTTTATGGCTGAGGAATCTGAGGCTCAGCGAGGTTAAGTTATTTACCCATGGTCACGTAATGAGGAGGCAGAGTCAGGAATCAAAGCCAGGCAGCCTGGCTCCTAAGCCCACGTTTTTACCGCTGTATCGTGTGAGCAAGGCAATGTTAGGAGGAGGAGGGAACCAGTGTGGCTTGGAGAGGTTAACTGAGTGCATTTGTCCTGGAGAGTCAGCTAGCTGAACTGGCAATGGGCTTGAATCCAGATGGCCATAAGCCAGATCCTGTTCTTGGTCCACTTGGCTTCAGCTACTCAAAGGATGGCTTGCAGCCCAGCAGCTTTGGCATCACCAGGAAGCATGTAAGAAATGCAGTTTCAAGGGAACACTTTGTAACCTATATGAATGTCTCTATCTACTGTGCTATAACCTGAAACTAATACAAAATGGTGTTGAATGCAAAATGTAATTGAAAAATTAAAAAAAGAGAAATGCACAGTTTCAGGTTCACCCAGAGCCACTGAATCAATCAGCTTCTGCATTTAGCAAGACCCCCAGTCTGCACATTCAGGCTTGAGAAGTACTTCAATAGGTCACACCACCTGCTGATGGGGAGTTGAAAGGTTTAGCCACACAGGTAAGCTTTGGGATGCTGGTTTTCCATAATGTAGCTCCCCCACACCCCTCTCTCCAAAAGTTCCAAGAGGCTGGGGCGTGACCACCCTTCTGAATGAAAGGATACACTACTTGGTCCAAAGAGAAAAGAGGGGTTTCTTCAACTCCAAGGAAAGAGAAGTGTTCTGAGGACATTCAGGATGATTAATTGAAATCAGCCTAGGGACATCTCGGGCATGGTAGTTCCTGTGACACCAGATAGCCTATGACTCTGAAATTCTAGTTGTTCTCTGCAGTCCCAGGATATATTTGAAATAGCTCCTATTTCTGTTTTCCTCAGCTATAACCTCAAAGGGTATGGTGTGTGTGTGTGTGTGTGTGTGATTGAACGTATGTGCAAAAACAGAAATGAATGACCATTTTATTATCAGTCACCTAACATGTAAAAGCATTCACAGACTTGGAGAAAATGTGGACCAGCATCAGCTCCACTCACCATTTAGAATGGGGGCTGGGAACTGGTAGCCTCCAGGATGCATTTGGCCTATAGATACGTTTTGCTTGTCCATTAATTGTTGGCCTATACTATGCTTTAATTTTTTATGGGAAGGGGATATGTCACATAAAAATCCAGTTTTTTGGCTTCTCTTGAAAAATCAGAGTATCTGGCAACACCAGACCTGTGTTCTAGCATGGAAACAATTAATTGAAGCCTTAATTGAAACCTTCACTTTCTCATTGCCACTGTCCCCAATGCTCCTTATTGTCTCCTCAATGCTGAAACCAACTATCAGCCCAGCTGCTGTTTTACTTATAATAGAGTTGAGAGAAAAGTCAACCATTTCTTAGATCCATGACATGTACACTCTTTGCCCATTTATACCACTTATAGACAGCCGAGCTTGCAATCCGTGGTTTGAATGAAAGTTGGCAGAGGTCCCCTGGGATCTCCATAACTCCTCTAAATTACTAAATATAACAGGAAATTCTAGCTGCTGCCTGAGCCAATATGGAGAAAATAATTCAGAGGCATGAAAAAAATTTAGTATTAGTTGAAGAAACAAGATTGAAACCTATGAAACAACTAAGGAATAACGTATAGAGTGTCTGACCAAGGAAAGATCTGTCTGGGGAGAAAGGTGTTGTGAGGTGTATCTGGAAGGACAGGCAGGGTTTAGAGTGGAGCATCGGAGTTAGGGGGAAGAGGAGGGGTGCCTAGGGCATGAGGAAGGATGGTCCACGTGTGACTAGAGCGGAAGATTTGGGCTGGAGAAGATGAGGCACAGGGCACCTAACTGAGGAGGAGAGAGTAGCCAGGTGAGTTAAGAGAGGGGCAGTTCATGTAGAGTCGCGCATGCCAAAATGAGTGGATTTGGGGTAAACCAGAACCTGCAAATAAACAGGGAGTCAGCTTGCTGTTTCCAGAATGTGTCATGCTCTCTTCCCAGAATGCCCTGACTCATCCGCTTCAGCCAGCCCATTTTCCTCTCCCTCTGTGACTTGGCTCAGACCCTAGGCCTCAGCGACAGCTTCCTGGGAGGAGTGAGGCACCCCCCCCACCCCACCCCGGCTTTGTGCCTGTGTGGTACCCCAGGCATGAGCTTTGAATGCTGCCTGGAAGAAGAGGTTTTGTGATTTGGGGATTCACCCATCTGACCCGACCAAATTATAAACCCATTGAAGGGGGTACTGTGTCTCTCTTCATTGGGACTCCAAAGCCTTCAGCAGTGTTTGGCACTTACCACGTGCTCAGTGCATGTTTCTGAACGAGCAAATGAATGAAAGAACTGGAAGATTGCTGCAGTAGTCCAGGCAAGACGTAATAAAGTGGACTAGGGTAGGATCTGTTGGTTTAGGAAACATTTCAAAGAAAGAAATTGGTAGGCTTTGGTGCCAAATTGACTATTGTGGCCAAAGAGCCTAGAGGAACTAAAATTAAGGTATGAAAGGACATCTTGACAGCTAGGAAAGTTGCGATCGGGAGCTGGAGGGAGGCGATGTCATTCCTACATCTGCAGAGCAAAAGGATCTCTGAGACACGGGTGCCCGCCCCCTCTGTTTACCTGAGCTGTCCTTTTTGGTCTTGGTCTTTTTGCTACTCCTGGAACTCCAGCCATTTCAGGATCAAGGAAATGAAGGGCAAAAGGAAACAAACACAGAGCATGAAAATCTGATTTTAAATCTTGTTTCTAGTTATATTTTCCCTGACACAAAAGCTTTAGAGGCAGATATAAGTCTGCAAAAGGCCAGCTGCGGCTCTATTGGGTGGGTGTGACACATTAAAACAGCGGAAGGAAAACTGGGAAAGGGGGAGGTGGGATGGGGTGGAGCGCTGGGGAGCAGAACCCATGCTGCTGGTTTTGCTGAGGAGGAGTGGGTGGGGCTCCATCTGCTCGGTGCTGTGTCTCAGCCATTTATTTTACTTGCTGTAAGTTGCACATTGATGCCAACATGCAAAAACTGATATAATTACAACCAGACTACAGCCTGCCTGAATGAGAACAGTCATCACTCAGGGCTTCATTCTGGGGAATTAAAGAGAAGAAACTAAATGTCTGCACAAAGCAGTTACTGAGATAACAGTAGAGCAAAAATTAACTTGCCCCTGCTTCTCACATCCCTCTGATCTGTTCTGTACATGACAGCCCAGACTGGGTTGCCATAGCTTCCCGGCTGGTTCACACCTATTCTCCCTCTCTTCCTGTCAACTGTCACTGCAACAGCCAGTATAACCTTTTCAACATGCAAATTGGATCGTGTCACCTCCCAGTTAAAAATGGTGCTAAGGCTTTCATTACTCTAAAGTCTAAATTCATTTGCATGGCTTCCCAGGTCCTGCCTGGCTCGGTCCCTGCCTGCTTTTACTAATGTCCTTCCATTACCACCCCTCTTCCCACCCTGGGCTTCCTTCCCTTTCTCGAAACTCACCAAGCTTCTTTCTCAAGGTGGAGCATCAGCCTTACACTCATATCTTCCCTTAACCTGTCCAAGGTTTTCCACCCTTTACCTGGGTAGTGCCCAGCTCTCTTTCAGGGTTTAGTCTCCTCTGGCCTTCTGGAAATATTCAAAGCTGTCTGTGCCAGAGACTGCCAATAGGCCCCCAGGATTTCTTCTTCCCTTCTCCCTCTGGGGCAAGTATCTAATTCTGTGTTGGGCGTATGCAGAATAGAGAATGCATTTCCCAGCCTCCCTTGCAGTGCATGTGATCATGTGACTGAATTGTGGCCACAGAATATAAACAGAAGCTGTTCCTTCAAATAGTAATTTTAAAATTTTACGTTTTAAACATTTTGAGACAAAAAGTGACTTCAACATGTCTTGTTCTATTAGAGCCCAGCACTCCCCAGCTCAGCAGTATGATATCTTATCCAGAAATTTCTTTTTTTTCCTTTTGAATTTATTGGGGTGATACTGGATCCAGAAATTTCTTAATTACAGATTTCTATATGATATGCAGAGTGATGACCCCAGTAAAAATTCTTTAACAGTGGGCAACTAACAAGTTTTTTTCTTGTGTTAATACTTTTCTACTTCCAGTCGAAGGCAGACTTCATAATACAAGTTAATATTTATTGAGAGGTTACTTAAATCTGCCTCTAAATCTGCTGAGGAGCATGTCAAGCACTTCATGTTTTTGAGTTCACTTAATCCTGACAATATCTGGATGAGTTTGGAACTATCATAATTTCCATTGTACAGATCTAAAAACTGAGGCCCCGAAGAGTAAAGCACTGCGCCCATGGGCTCACGGTTGGAGCAGTGACGTGAGCCCAGTCCTGTGTGAGCCCTTGCCCACTATTAGAGATTGTCTTCTCTGATTTTATTGGTTTTTAGTTTACTAACAGCACTCCAAAAGAAAACTTTCTTTTTGTTGTTCTGTCTCTGAACTGCTAGTTCCTGTTGTGACAAAAATCTCCTTTGATACTTCGTTTTTCTCTTCTGGTGATACAATTTATTTCCATTCTTTTTTTTTTCCAAAAAAAAACCCACAAATCAAGTTCGCTAGGGCCCCGGGTCCCACTTAATCGTCACTCTCTGGTCATAGTGCCCAGTGCCCCAAGTACTTTCAACTCCTGTTTCTTTCATACCAACCAGTCTCAAGACGCAAACCCTAAGTCAACTATATGGACAGGGCCATTTCCTCAGGCATGGAGAAAATAGGCCTGTACAATGGAACTTTCCAGTACAGACTGTACATTGAGAAAATGACCACAGAAGCTCCATAAAGCCCAACCATAGGCCAGGTGAGTAGGTCAAGGAACCCAAGGAGTAAACAGTGTTTTAAACAATGTTTTGTTTATTTCTCTGCAGAACTAGGAACTGGATTAGAAATTAGGTTTTACTTTTTCCACCTGTGATACTAACTTATTATTGGAGAGTTAGTTTTCTTTTTTTAAAATCCTCACCTTAGGATATATTTATTGATTTTTAGAGAGACGAGAAGGGGGAGGAGGGAGGGAAGGGGAGAGAAACAGTCCAACCAACTGAGCCACCTGGCCAGAGCACTTTTCATTTTTTATAAAATTTCTCCTCTGGAGTAAAGCCTACTATGCTTGCTGTGTGGAGAAAGAGGGTGAGGCAAAGAGAACTGGGGAAAGGTTGCCCTGAGTCAGGGATGACCCTGGACCCTGAGTGGCAGTATTTCATGCCCCTCCATGGGCTCATTAACCAAGTTACCTGGTTTTTGGACCTCACCACCCAGGCCATCAGCGCTGCAGGAAGGGACATCAGACTGGCCTGATTTAAGTCATGTACCTGAATCGGTTGTGCTGGTGCAAGTCAGCAAAAATCTGAGAGAGAGCTTCACTCTCTCCCATGGCCATCAACTGCATGAGGCTCTCGCTGGGCTGGGAGGCTTGTGGTTTCTTCTGTACTAACTAGATGGAGAAAAAAAAGCAAAGCCAGATGGTTAAGACCTGAGAATCTCTGTATTTTCCTAATATCATGGTCCAGACCCTAAAGTGTTAGAATTCAAACTATTAAATTGGGTGGCCATGTCAGGGGCTTAGAGAGGAAATTCTGAGGTCATATCTGCTTATATCCCCTGTATTATTATAAATATCCTTTGGTGCCCAAGGATAATATTGTCATTGAATACTTTAAACATAATTTAGTAGATAATTCTTATTAATATACCTTAATATGTTATCAAATAGCCTAGCCATATAAACTTTAATAAAGCTTATGCTACTTGGTTTTATATTTAAATGTAGGGGAATCAAGTATTTATTGTAGGAATTTAATGAATGTTTAAAAAATTAACTTCTCTAAGAAACATCTTATATAGATCTGCTTTTTACACCTGGCTAAAATTGCTTTCTTTCCTGTTGCCTGTGATACCCCAAAGGTGTTCCAGAAGTACAAACTGCTCATAATCATTCATTCATTCTTTACTGAATGTCAACTATGTGCCAGGCACTGGGGATAGAGCAATGAAGTAGACAGATAAAAATCCCTACATTCATGGAGATTATGCTGTAGCTCAAGTCAGTCTTATACCACACTCCAAGGCCTGTGGCAAAAAGGCCCAGGTGGCTTCACTGGTGACTTTTATTAAATACTTAAAGGAGTAATGATACCAATTCTTCAAAAACAGAGGAGGAGGAAACACTTCCCAAATCATTCAATGAGGCTAGTTAATTACCCTAATGCCAAAGCCAGGATATCGCAAGAAAACTATAGACCAATGTTTCTAATGAACATAGATGCGAAATCTTTAACAAAATGCTAGTAAACTAAATCATGTAACATATAAAAAGGATTATACATACACGCCATGACCAAGTGGAATTTATTGCAGGAACACAAGGTTGATTTAACATCTAAAAATCAATTAATGTAATACACTACATTAATAGAAGAAAGGGCAAACCACATGACCATCTCAATAGATGCAGAAAAAAGCATTTCAAAAAATTCAATACCCATTTATGATAAAAACTCTCAATAAACAAGGACTTAAAGGGAATTCCCTCAACCTGATAAAGGGCATATACAAAAATCCCACAGTTAGCATCACACTTAATGAAAGACTCAATGTTCTCCTCCTAGATTGGGCATGTCTGCTTTGCCAATTCTATTAAACACTGTACTGAAGGTTCTAGCTAAGGCAATAGGCAATAAACAAACAAGTGTGTATGAATTGGAAATGAAGTAAAACTGTCTTTTATTTGCAGATGACATGTATTTATGTAAAAAATCCCAAGGAACCACAAAAAATACTCTATCTAATGGACAAGATTAATATACAAAAATCAATTGTATTTCTATATACTGTCAATGAACGATGAAAACAAAATTAAGAAAACACAATTCCATTCAAAGTAGTATCCACAAAGTAAAAGTTAGGAATAAATTTAACAAAAGAAGTGCAGAACGTATATACTGAAAGCTATAAAAACATTGCAAAGAGAAATTAAAGAAGATTGAAATAAATTGAAAGACATTCCATATTCATGTATTGTCAAGATGGCAATTCTCTTCTAATTGATGTATAAAATCAACATGTCTTTGTCAATATCCCAGCGATCTATTTTGTAGAAATTGATGTTAATCCTAAAATTTATATGGAAATGCAAAGGATCTAGAATAGCCAAAACAATTAGAAAAAGAACAAAATTGGAAGACTTACAATGCCCAATTTTAAAACTTACTATAAAGCTACATTAATCAAGACATTGTGGTATTGGCACAAGCATAGGCATACAGATCAATAAAACAGAATTGAGAATCCAGAAATAAATTCTTGCATTTACTGTCAATTGATTTTTGACCAAAGTGCCAAGACAATTCAATGGAGGAAAGGATAATCTCCTCAACAAATGGTGCTGGGAAAGTTGTACATCCACATGTGAAAACAAAAAATACTTAGACCCTAGGCACATACCCTGGTTGTGGGCTCAATCCTTCATGGAGGACACCCAGGAGGCAGCCAATCATCAATCATCAATGTTCCTCTCTCTCTCTCTCTACCTCTCCCTTTCTCTCTCTCTTAAAATCAATTAAAAAAAATCTTTAGAAAAAAAAGTACTGAGACCCTTACCTCACAGCCTACACAAATAGTAATGCAAAATGGATCATAGAGCCTGACCAGCATGGCTCAATGGTTGTGCACTGACCTATGACCCAAGAGATTGTGGTTCGATTCCCGGTCAGGGCACATGCCGGGGTTTTGGGCTCGGATCCCCAGTAGGGGACGTGCAGGAGGCAGCTGATCAATGACTCACTATTGATGTTTCTATCTCTCTCTCCCTCTCCCTTTCTCTGAAATCAATAAAGACATATTTAAAAAAATTTTTTAAATACATGTTTTAAAAAATGGATCATAGACTTGAATGTAAGAACTTAATCTATAAAACTTCTAGAAGAAAACATAGGATAAAATACTTGTGACTTTGTGTTGAACAAAGAAGTCTTAGCTACAACACCAAAAATCTAATCCATAAAAGAAAAAAATTGATAAATTGCACTTCATCAAAATTAAAAACTTTTGCTCCACAAAGGACACCATTAAGAAAACAAAAAGACAATTCACACACTGGGAGAAAATATTTGCAAATCATATATCTAATAAAGGACTTGTATCCAGAATACACAAAGAATTATAGCAGCTCAAGAAGACGAAACTCAGTTTAAAAAGGGGTTTTTCAGCAAAAGACTTGAATAGGCATTTCACCAAAGACTTGAGCTCCTTCTTTGCCATCGTGGTGCGTGAGATTGATTCTCCATCATGTCTTCTCACAAGACTTTCAGGATCAAGAGGTTCCCGGCCAAGAATCAAAAGCAGAACTGGCCATTCTGCAATGAGTTCAGATGAAAACTCGTAATAAAATTGGGTATAATTCCAAGAGGAGACATTGGAGAAGAACCAAACTGGGCTTATAACGAATTGCACATGACAGATGGCTCACATATTTACGCTGTATCCAGGTTGCCTGCATCTTTAAATGACTGAAAAGATTACTGTCTGGACAGTGGGCATTTCAATTGGGAAATTATTGGAACAATGATTTTTCTGTTGATTTTTTTTCTGCAGCATTAAGTTGGTTCAGTAATAAATGTGAAACTTGAAAAGAAAAAAATTTGAATAGACATTTCACCAGAAAAAGATATATAAATGACTAATAAGCCCATGAAAAGTTACTCAATATCATTAGCCACTGAAGAAATCCAAAGTAAAACCATTACATATCCACTAGAATGGCTTTAATAAAAAAGAGAGACAATACCAGTGTTGGTGAGAATGTGGAGAAACTGAAACCCTCAAGCGTTGCTGGTAGGAATGTAAAATGGTGCAGCCACTCTGGCAAACAGTTTGCCAGTTTCTTTAAAATTTAAAGGTAAGCCTAACATATGACAAAAATTTCATTCCTTGGAATGGACCCATGACAAATGAAAACTATGTCTACAGAAAAACTTGTACACAGATGTTCATAACAGCATTATTCATAACAGCCCCAAACTGGAAACAGCCCAAATGTCCATCAACTGATGAATAGGTAAACAAAATGTGGCATATCTATACAGTGGAATACTATTCAGCAAAGAAAAGGAATGAATGAGCCTTGGCCGGTGTGGCTCACTCAGTTGGAGCCTCCTCTTGTACACCAAAAGGGGGTGGGTTTGATCCCTGGTCAGGGCCTGTGCAACCAACCGATGTATCTCTCTCACGTTTCTCCCTTCCTGCCCTTCCCTTCCTCCCTCGCTCTCTCTAAGATTAATTTTTTTAAAAAAAGAATGAATTATTCATAGTCTGTGACTCTGCCATAGAATTGGCTCCATGCCATGATACAGATGAGCCTGAAAAAATTATGCTGAGCGAAAGCAGCCAGATACAAAATGCTATACATTGTAGGATTTTGTTATATGAAATGTCTAGCAAATATGAATTTATAGAGACTGCAAACAGATCGATGACTGTCTAGGGCAGGAAATAGGAACAGGGCATGACTGCAAATGGGCACAAGGGAATTTTTTAGGGTGATGGAAATGTTCTAAAACTGGGTTGTGGTGAATCTTACAGTTGGTTGTACATTATACCTCAATTAAAGGCAGGGATTGCCTTCATGGGGTGCTCACTCACATACCAGCTCACCTAAGCTCTACTCCTCAGCTCTGGCCTTGGCTGGAGGTGGCAATGGTGCCCACCTACCTTAGAGTCTCCTGAGGGGCTGCAGCTGTTCTTGGGTACCAGACAGTGAGTGACAAGAATCCTAGGGTCTTTGGTGGTGATGGACAGGCCCTTCTGCAGAATTTGAACTAGTCGGGTCCAGAAGTGGAAGACAGTTTCAGGATGGTCCGAGTGGAGTCTTAGGTAGTAGATCTTCTCTGTGACTGTCCTCAGCCGCAGGATGCGTTGAAGCTGGTCACAGACCTGGAGCTCCACGAACTTCAGTGGGAGAATCCTGAAGGCATGAGGGAAGACACACACTGACAACCGCATTGCTTCCCATCCAACCCTGTCTTCATTAAAACCAGGAGTGTCTCCTTCGGGACCGAGGCTTTTGGGGGTAGGAAAGAGAGTGCTTAGCAGAGGGCTCAAGCTTTAGGGAGAGCATATTCACCTGGAGAGCTTGTTTAAAATGCAGACATCTGAAGATACCCCTCAGATTCAGTAGGTCTGGGGTGTCCTTGGAATCTGCATTTTAACCTCCACCCATCCTGCCAGGATTTTCACGCTGGCGTCCCAGGATCCTGCTGACAGAGACAGCCTAGGAGTAAGGTAGCTAGGGTCACAGGGTGTTTCGGTGTCCCTCTTGATAGCACAAAGGGAGCTACCATCCCCTGCCGCAAAGTTGGCCCCACTGTCCAGCTTGTCTAGTCATTGACCCTGGTGTCCCAAGTACACTTCTAGAAGGAGCTAAGGCTCAGGGCCCTGGCCTTGGGTCGAGTAGTGAGCCGGGGCTGGGCTGTACTTGCTGTAGGTGCGCCAGAGCATAAGGGAGAAGTTCATCACTGAGGCTACAGGGGGGAATCGAGGGTTTGCCTGGATTTCTGAGAATATCTGGAGATTCTTGAATATCCTACAGATTACTTGAAGAGGCTCAAATGCTAAAAAGGGCTGTTTCATTTAGACAAGCATGATATGAGTATATATTACAGTTCTAATGACACTTAGTTCCACTCATTTTACTGGTAAGAAAACTGAGATGCAGCAAGTAACTTATGACAAACACTATATGAGCCTTAGCTACGTGCCAAGGGCTAGAACCTGCGGCTCCCAACCCATGCCCCATCTGCCAGATCTCACTGCTTCCTTGCCCCTTGGCAGAGAGATTTCCTAAGAATTCAGTGGGGCAAGTGCAGTGAGAAGAGAAGTGGGCATGTAGGTTGGCCCCTCATTCTTGTCCATACAATGTCACCCTTTACCCTACTTGACCAAGGTGCTTCCAGTGTGCTCACTGTCTTAGGTTATTGTTGTCTAAAAACATTAATGTCACTGCTGATGACTTCTCTGCTTTCTCCTACCTTGAGTTTAGTCTCAAAGCAGCCTTTGCTCTGGGTCTACCCCTCCGCCCACTTGTCCTTCATTCCCATTGGTGTCACTTACCTCTTCAGGATAATGTTTGGGGCTGTAGATGGTCTGTTCCATGTCTGGCTTTGCCCCCGGTGCCATTTGACACGGGCCATGAGGAGGACGTTGGGAAGGGGCAGGCAGGGCACAGACGAGGTCACCCCTAAGGCCATGGTATAGGAGGCTTTGTAGATGTCAATCCAGTTCCTGCCCTTTTTGACCTGCAAAGCAGCCCCGGAGGCACAGCCTGAGCATTTGGCAGAAGCAGGAATATGTTTCAGCTGAGAGCTTCTCAACTTCGGCAATATTCACATTGTGGCCAGGATTTTTTGGGGAAAGGGGCTGTCCTGTGTACTGTATGGAGTTTAGCAGCATTCTCAGCCTCTATCTACTAGATGCCAGTAGCACTGCCCCTCATTCCCCACAAATTGTGACAACCAAAAACGTCTTCAGACTGCCAAATGTCCCCTGGTTTTGGAAGGCGAATCATGGATAGATGAGTACTACTGTTTTAAGCCTATATTGGTTAAACAACTGTAATAGTATTTACACTACCTACTGTCAGCAACTGCCCAGAAGAACTATAACCCAGGAGTTCCCTGGAATGTGTCACATTCCCATGAATCCTCCCTAGACCGTTTCCTGGCTTTTCTTTGAAAAAAGTCCTTTGGCCCTTCTCTGAGGGGCCCTATAATCTCCCACACCTTCCTTGGTTTGTAAAGTCCCTCGCAACTCCCAAGTTCTGTGAAGAGAGCCCAGGAAGGGAAACAAAAATGCACGGAGTGCCCCTGTACTGAGGCCTTTGCGTCCTGTGCTTGCATATAATCCTGTCAGTCCAACCCCTTTTACATTAGAGGGCCCTGGGATCCAGGGTGTGCAAATCACTTGCACAGTGATGCCTCCTGATGGAAAAGCAGTGGACTGCACCCTGAGCCCAGGGCTCTCTGGGGCCAGCTTCTGTTCTCTCATCAATTAGCATTTCTGTTGGAAACCCTCAAAGGGCATCTTGTTTCACTGTCTCTTTGATCATCTGCTTTGGGCTTCCTGGAGGAGGAAATAAATTGGGGGACTTGGATACCAAATCCTCCACTCAGAGCAGAGAACACCTGGCCTCTCTCCCCCAGGATGACAACTGTCTGCAGGAGAAGCCCTGTCTGGGGCTCTGCAAAGTCAGGGTCAAGTGGAGGTGGCCTTGCATTCCAGGCCTACTGACTTCTCGCCTCAGCTCTCACTTCACTCCATTCCAGGGACAGAGTCTCCTGGTCACATCTTGGGAACAGGTTTAGAAAAATCAAGGAGTGCCCGCCATTCTGAGTGACTCCAGAGTACCTGGACAAAGTTGCTTTCAAACACCACGGAGTCAGGAAACAGGTTGAATTCTGGAGAATGAACCATCTGGCAGAGCAGTCCCTCCTCCACACCCAGGCCCACTCCAGGGTTTGGCTCTCCATCCACAGGCAAGAGGCCCCTGAATTCTTCCCAGGCATTCAGGGAAGAGAAAGTTGGATAGGATCTTGTGACTTTTACTGTTTCTGATTTCCACCCAATCTTTCTAGGTGGAACTGATGACAACATTTCTGCACATGCTCAGGGGCTTACTGCACATTTGTCCTGGTATCTCTGTCTGCCCTCTGGCCTTGGGCAGCTGGCCAAGGCCTGGGACCGCCAATCAGCTCACAATGATGAATGATGACATCATGAAAAACCAGGGCAAGCCTGCAGGAAAGGGAAATGCGGAGGAGCCTCCCTTTTCCACCAAAGTGCTTTGGGGCTGGTTTATGCCCTGACCTTCTCCATCCCTTCTTGGAACCCGAGGACACGGCTCCCCAGAGCTTGCTGAGAAGGCAGTGAGCCAGGCAGAAAGTGAGGAAGGAAGGCTGCTGGGAAGCTTCTGCCACTGCTAAGAGGAAAATGCCTTCCCTGCCTTTCAACCCTCCCTTACTCTTAATGCAACCCACCTGCCAAAGAGTTTTAAGGGCTGTTTACTTAAAACCCAGCCTTCCCTCGCTTTACATGATGTGGGCCCCCACACGCCCTGGTGTATCTGCAGTAGCCTTTTCTGGTTATGGAAGGAGTTGTAGGTGCCTCTCTGTGCTCTGCTACGGCTGGCTGGTTACTTCTGCAGGCCTATGTCCCTTAGAAGGTCAAACTGAAAGAGCAGTAGAAATCATTAGTTTCTTACCCAGAGGCTGGCTTTGTGAGGGTGCCAGCTGGGAGAAATAGAACCCCGGCGAGCAGCTCTGCTTGGTCAACAAGCCATTCCCCCTCTCAGAGTGACAGTGTTCCTCATTCCTGAACCAGAGGAAGAAAGATCTCAAGTCCTGGGGTGGCTAGATCAGGAGCAAAGAACCAAGCAGACCAACCACTATTTAAGTCCATCTCAGGGAGAAATCGTACTCCAGTGTGGACAACATTTCAGAATGTATTAAATGATGTATTGACCATCAGGGTCAAATGTGATCAATTTAGAAAAGCAATTTGACAACCAATATATGCAATGCACAAGCTCTAAGATTTCTTTTGGTATTTCATTAAGTCATCTGATTCCATCAGCCCCTCACTTGCTCATTTCTATCGAGCTCGCTCAAGCACCTGTAACAGCTCCCTGGTTGTAAAACAACTTCTGCACTCACGCTCATTTTCTTTTGTTTACCCTGTGGGGAAAATATCCTCCATGGTAATGTTCTCTAAGGACAGGGCAGAAACTATTCCTATGGTTTACATTTCCCCAGAAACACAGTACGAAAAGCGATGGCAATTAATACACTGATACGATGCTTTTCACAGTTAAAGCTTACCCACAACAGTAAAAATTCTTGCCTTTTGGCTTAGATATATGATTTAGATGTGTTTGGCCACTGAAACATTCAAAAGTCCTCTTCAATTGGGAAAATGACTCTTTCCTTTTTCCATATAATCCTGTTGAGCCCACTTCTGTAGTGTGTGGAGGAAGGCTTTAGCACCAAGTCTAGGAAGCTAATTGTGAGGAGGTGAGCTTTTCACTCTAAACAAAATATAAGCAGTGATATAAATGGTGCTTTAAGCCCTAGCCAGTTTTGCTCAGTGGTTAGGGCATCGGCCCCGTGGACTGAAGGGTCCTGGGTTCGATTCCAGCCAAGGGCATGTACCTTGGCTGCAGGCTTGATCCTGGGCCCCGGTCAGGGTTCACGCTGGAGGCAACCAATCAATGTGAGACATCAATGTTTTTTTTTCTCTCTCTCTCTCTTTCCCACTCTCTCTGAAAAGCGATGGAAAAAATATCCCCCAGTAAGGATTAAAAAAATAATTTTTAAAAAATGGTGCTTTAAGATGTCTACCCCTTCCAACCTGCCCCCACCAGACCTCAAAAACTAGCACACTGTATCCTTTACAAAACCATTTGACAAATACTTAATTGTACATCCTGTTATTCATTCCCTCCATTCCTTTAGTAATAGAATTTCTGTCGAGGCACATGTTTCTAGAATAAAGATTACATTCCTCGCCTCCCTTACAGCTAGGTAAGGCCATACGACTATGTTCAGGCAAAAGAGATGTAAGTTCAAGTGTTAGGTACAATTTCTGTGAGGAATCATTGTAGGAAGGGGACATGCTCTTATTCGCTCCCCCCTTTTTCCTTTTGGCTGGAATACAAACTTGACAGCTGGAGCTCGAGCAGCGCTTTGGGTCACGAAGCAGCATGCTAAGGAGGGTGGCATAGCAAGATAAAAGGGCTCCAATTCTTTGATCATGAAACTATCATCCTAGTCTGAATATGTACCTCCAGACTTTTAAATGTGAAAAAGATAAATTAGGATTTTTCTGTTATATTGAGCCAGACTTAAAACTAGCTGATACAACTACATAAAACTACTATCTACTATTCTGGACCAATTTTACAGGAAATGATGGCAGTATTTATCAATAATTCTAAGCAATGAAGAAATTATGGTTAATTTATGAGAAATTAAGACCTTAAGGATGACAAGCTATAGCTTCTGGGGAAAGCTGTGTAACTATATATTTCAGTGATATGAAAAACTCACTGCTTTCATCTTCCTATGTATTCGGTGACATTGGTGCTACCACAATTCTTGCCTTTGGCACATTTGGTGATAAGCACTTAGGTGACAATTTCCTCAACTATGTGGACTATACATTGGTTTGAGGCTAAAGTCACTTTGGCAGTCTCAGGTATCATTTCAATTGCTCAGGAATGACCAGGATATCTGGTTGGCAGTTGGGACTGGACCCAGGTTTTGGGTTTAGAGCTTATACAATTTGGAGACTATTAAAAATAAAAAGGCTGGCCCTGGCTGGGTGGGTCGATTAGCTGGAACATCAACCCGTACACCAAAAGATAGAGGGTTCGATTCCTGATTGGGGTGCGAACGGGAGGCAACTGGTCGGTTTCTCCCTCACATCAATGTTTCTCTCACGCTCTTTCACTTCCTCTCTAAAAATCAATGCAAACATATCCTCAGGCGAGGATAATAATAATAATAATAAATAAAAAGGCTGGAAGAAGGGGAGAATTGAGACTTGTTTAATGGGTACAGAGTTTCAGTTTGGAAAGATGACAAAGTCCTGGAAATGGGTGGTGATGATGGTTGTAGAACAATGTGAATGTATCCAGTGCCACTGAAGTGCAAACCTAAAAATGATTAAAATAGTACATTTTACACGGTGTATATTTTATCACAATAAAAAATGCTGGAACACAAAAAATCAGATTTTTAAAAAATCCCACAAAGTATGGCACAAAATTGGCCCTCAGAAGGGCCTGTGTGAATAAGGGATCCTGAAACTCAAGTTTTATATCTTCATGGTAAAGCTGTCCTATTTAAATCTTTGTCACTATTAAAAAGAGCTTTTTTACATAAACAGTACATGTGCTTTGTAGAACATTAGAAAATACAGACAAGTTCAAAAAACAAACAGTATATTCCTACCTCCCAGAAAACATTACTGTAACAGCTACCTGTGTGTGTACTAAAATGAGATCACATCTAAAAAGTGTTTTATAACCTGTTTTATTCAGTCACCACTCTCTACCTTTGTGTTCTGGTGCACTTTCATCTCATTTCATCTCATTTGATTTCCAGGCCATATCGAAATTTATTCAGTTAACTCCAATTATTCTTACACTTGCTTTATCCAAATCAGTATCCAATCCAGGACCACAATTCCCCTATGTTTATTTTGATCTAGTACAGTCCCTTTTTAGGACATTTACTAGTGGAAGCAATTGAGTTAGTTGTCCTCCTGAATGACCCACCTCTGGATTTGTCTGGCTATTGCCTTGTGGTATTTATCTTGCTCCTTTAGCAACTATATTTCCCGTGAAATAAAAGTTATACCTAAAGGGCTGGTGGATTCAGATATTGTTTTCCTTTAATTAAAATAGTCAAGATTTTTTAGTATGCAGCTACTATGGGATCCCAAAGAATATCAGTAGGAAAATACTTATAAATACACATCAGAAGAAAAATAATGTCAGGAAATAGAATAAAGTCTTTGAAAAGAGCCTTTTCTGTATCCTCAAGGAAATTAAATACAATATGAGACCCTATGAAACAACAACAACAAAATCAGGGATACCAAAATTAGATGACAAGGAAAGAAACAGAAGAAAAACCCATTAAATATCTAAAAGTCACATTAGAATCCACAAGAAGCAGAGTCTACACCATAGGAAACTGAGTCAGTGACATGGATAATAGGCTTAAGACGATCGCACAGAACACAGTCAAGAAGGGCAAAGAAATAGTTACTGGAAGAAAAATCCGGTAGACAGGCAGAGTCCCTGATGAAGAGGGAACAAGTGGAGCTGAAAAAGTAGTCGAAAACATAAAAGAAAAAACAATTTTTTAAACAAAAGGACTCAATTTGGCAAGTTAATAGAATTTACTATATTCCAGGTAAACTGGGCAAAGAAACCACTGAGACCAGAATAAGTCTTGTAAAGTTCCTAAATCTTAGAGACAACAAAAGCACCTTACTACAAACATCCAGAGAGAGGAAGCAGACAGTCTACCAAGGAGAATTAAATGAGACTGGCCTTAGGCTCCTTTTCAGCAGTTTTAGATGGCATAAGACAATGGAACAATGTAGAAAGAATGTTGCAGAGGAAAGGATGTGACCCAATAATTCCATAAATGGCTATAGAGATTCATTCAAGGATAAAGGTAGCAAAAATAATCTTAAAACTCTACGTACACGAAAATAAATAAATCTATAAGCTGATTCTTTGAAAAAGAAAAATTAGACAACCCATTAGCTAATTTAAAAATTTTAATTTTTAAAAAGGAAGACATAAAACATAAAATTTGAAGTAAGAAAACACAAGTGCAAATAACGAGGAAGTTTAGGCTTCTGGGTGTAGGTAGTGGCATAAAGCTATAGTCCCGGTGGTCAAAAGGCCCCAAAACACTGTGACTTAAACAAAACAGAACTTTGATTTTCTCTTACCTACTAGTCCCAGAGCAAGCAGTCCAGAGCTGGTAGTGTCTCTGTCATTCTCAACTTGTGGCTGCCATCTCTGGGCTCCAGGGTGGCTGTCCCAGCTCTTGCCATGGTGTCTGTCCCCTGGCCAG